GAACCTATGAAAAAAAATGTACAAGCAAAAGCACTGCCTCTGCCTTGTGGGAGTATGACCTCGATTCTTTTGTGAATGCACTGTAGTGCACAGCAGTATTTTCTCTAAAAGTGTTCAAGTAATTCATATAACAAATCTGTACCAGTATGAACGTGTCTACGAAGAAGAGAACTTTTATTTTAAATACTACAGCCCACTCAACGAATTTATATTTTGGTAACGTCATGTTAAAGAATATATCTGGTTTATATGTGGACTGTACATATGGCCTTGACTCAGAGCTGATGGCATATAATTTCAGGTGACCCTTACGTGACTGAAGACGTTATCGAACATGCGAAATTAACAAACACGTCAATATAGGTGCTGTTGGTGGTGTTGGAGGCTTAAGGTAATAAACCTTACCACTTTCAAGGTCCAGAGCTCCCACCATACTTGAGGTGCTTCCACTGTTCGCTTGGCGTTCTATGTTACACTGCAAGCAGGTGTGACCAGAGACGTTCAAAAAAGTTAGAAGTGATAAAGGCCTTGAAGCCTGAAACAGAAATACTTAAATACATTTGTGTTTGAAATCACGAGATATTTCTAAATACTTTAACAAAAAGACAATAAAAAATTGCCTAGCTTCCGCATACTACAATAGATACACAAGAATGCAAATAGTGCGAGTAATTATTTTATTTCAAGAATGCAGACGCTCCGCATAAATAATTATTTGGCACATCTACTATAGAAATTGGTTTTCACCGCACCGAAACATCGAAGTAAAATATATCACTAGAATGACTACAGAAAACCAGTGTAATATACAACAGTATATGTTTCCGGGTACATCATTACTCCCGAGATAGTTGTGGCAATAACTGCTATTAAAAAGTGCAGCTTGACAAAGAAAGTGTCATTTAGACAACAATCACAAGGCGTTAAAAAATTCGCCAAAAACGTTGCCACCCGAGAAATATTTGGGTGTCGCAACTACCTTCAGTGACCGCTACATTCATCGGAAAACCTTAGAAATTCTGCCTCGGCTATTCTGCTTTTACGGTGTTGGCGTTAGGCACTTTACCAAGCGGCCACATTGTGTGTTCGGGGTACTTTTGCCGCTTCATTGGTAAGGCAAGTGGTGGCGTACCTTTTTTTTTTACAACAAAGAAGTCGTGCTTGGCCTGTAGGAAAGAAGTAACTTGTTTCCACCAAAAAGTTAGATGTGCGCTTCATGCACAGTTCCGCGATTTAATCGGTATACCTTAAAGTATTGCATCACTAAGATACAGTTGTATATTTGAATGAATTTACACACATGAATACAGATACACAAAAATGTCGATAGATTACTATCATGAGACTCATGTATCGCGACAAAGCCCAGTCGTTTTGCAGCTTGGCGAATTCAACCAATCACCCGTCTTTTTAGACACATCTTTTTATTCTTACTGGACTCCACCTATCACAATCCGCTCTCATTTAATGTTTATGAGTAGGAATGGCATTCACAAAATTGTGTCCACGTCGGTTCGTAATGGCTGAAACACTCCTTTCGATGTCTTTTATTCCAGGTAGACACTACCCCACATTGTTTGCAACTGTAAGACGTAATGCTCAGGGACAATTCCTTGTACCTGCTCTACCACATATAAAAACAGACCAAAGACCGTCGAACATGTTTTTTTTCATATGAAGGACTTCATTTTATCAACGTGGCCACGAAAGCTAACGAAGGCAGTGGTTTTGTTTTGTTGCAATAGCAATCATATTAGCACTCTCAGCTCGTTTTAGCTGTCACCGTCACTTTCATGCCTCTTTCAAACCAACTAGAGAAACCGTAGAATCAATACGTGTTCAGTTTACTGACGATAAAACGCGAATAGAAATAAACCGGAGCTCTATCGTCCATCTATATTTAACATCTTCCTGGCTGCCAGGTTCAACCAGAAACTTTCGAGTGCATGCAACAGCAGAATTCTTCTCATGAACAGGTTTTCTTCAGATGACTGAAGCAAGCCGGTTCTCACAAGTCTATACTCACCTGCGAAAATCTTTTTCTTCTTGCGTGTTTTTTTTTCTACAAGCATACGTGTATCTCCTTGCTGTAGAATTGTGTGAGCTTCTGTCTTTCTTCTGGTCCACCTAAGCTCCCTCAGATACTGCTTTTTTCACATGGTCTACCATGTTATTGCTGTCTGTTTCATAATAAGTTGAAGCATTTTCACTAAGCAATAATGTATGCCATTGGTTCTTCGGCATTTAAAACTTTCTGTTTGCCTTAAAATTACCTCTTCCTTACATGACATCCCGAGTATGTGAAATGTGGTTGTGTTTACTACAACGCATGCACATTAAAGAGCGTATTCACGTGCTAAACAATACTTATCCTTTCGTATAGCCGAGCAGCATTTCCCTCTAAATGTAATTCATTTAGGGTAGCCACTCATCACATTAGCAGGGGCTACTTATAGCATCTTGCGAGATGGATTCACACGAGTATAATAAAAACAGTTTAAATTGCACCCTAATTATGTTTAAAAGTTTAGGCACGTATGTATCTCTACGAGGTCATCCTTGCTGAGAAACACAGGAAGAGATTGAAGTAAGCAGCGCTGCACGTCATTGCTACTTTGCTGTGTGGGTAGTATTTTGAGCGGTAAAATACATTGCAAGTTGTATGTAGGGCAACTAGCCCGACTCTAAATGAAGCATTATTAGTGATGAACAACTTGGTATTTCACCTACATCCTGGACCGGTTGGGCACGCTTAGGAGCGCAGCTTCCCATTGAGCTCGAGTCCACTACTTTATTCGTCGCCATTTTGCAAGCTGATACCATCTATCTGAACTTCCATAAGCAAGATAGATCAGATGTATCGAATGTTAAAGCAGAGATCTTTATTGGCGCTCCAAGAACGGCAAAACTAAAACATTCAGAAAAATTTCTCGCAATCATCAGCTCACAGGAGCTTCGACAGAGCAGTGGTGATCGAAATTTTCTTTGATGTAAGAAAATGATTTTCATGAAGCAGCTAATGCTTTCGCTGGTTCATAAAAAGTTTCTTCAATCATATCTATACCTGCATCGGCCAGTCAAAGCAGAATAAAAACATGACCAAGCGGCGTAATAATATAGAGTCCCCGTTCAGTGCGAGCCTGTTCTCCAGTGCAACAGCACAGGGTGGGAAGGGTTTCAAAGAGCCTTCAAAAGAAATAGGCACTGCCTTAGTGTTGGAAACTTATTCCTGTATTAAATTGTAACCTTCCCTCATAATGTTTTCGATTCATCGTAACAATATAATTGAGTGATTACAGTGGTGATGAAAAGTTGTTTTGCCTAGCTTGCAGCCGACATTGACTACTGTCGAAAGGGCAGCCCCACTATTCTTTCTCAGTGGAGGGGGGTCTCACGCCCTCCTTTTCACCTCGGTTAATACGCCTATGGTTGAGGAATACTGGTAACATATATTCACTCAACCATACAAATATCGACACTTCTTGTATACAAATATCGACACCTCTCATGCGAACAATTATTTTTACAAAACGGCGCTGTCGCGTTCCAAAATAAACTATTATAGGCGTTAAACCGGTCTGGGCCTTACCCTTTTCGCTCCTGTTGTAACTAGGAAGAAATATTACATCATTAGTTTTAACCTGGAAGCACTTCTATTTACTGGTGAAAAGAGTTTTCAAGGTGTTGTTAACCAAATATATTGGTTTTAAGTATTTCTAATATTCTATTCTTGAGAGCCTCCTCGTTAAGTTGGGATTTGGGGGAACGTTAAAGAACCCCCAGGTGGTCGAAATTTCCGGAGCCCTCCACTACGATGTGTCTCATAATCATACGGTGCTTTTGGGACGTTAAACCCCACAAATCAATCATCAATCAATCCTCGTTAGGCTGTTGTGAGCGGGATGTCTGTTCCGCAGTAGAAAATGTTTTTCCTTATTGAGGGTGGTTTTGGTCGCAAATCCTCAAACTAGTATCATAAAGGTTTATCAACAATCGTATAGATAAGTTTACACACAAATATTTATTTCACGCTCAATCGCCCAGTGTTGGTCTGAACCGTAAATAGAGATCATCATCATCATCACTAAAATACGTTCTAGGCTTTCAATACTTGCCGAAAGCAGATAAGAGTTGAAGTATACTGGACAGCTCACAGTACTCATTAGCTACCTCTTGAGAGGAAGGACAACTCATTCTTCAAGTATGGTAATTGTTATTACGCCCATAGGATGAAAGAAGGCACCAACAAAACCGCAAGGAATATATTGATTAGAGGAGAAGCTCTTCATTGTCAAGGCTCGTCCGCTGACGTTGGCGTCAGCGTTCTGCTCTGTAGCTGCGGTTAAAGATGTCGATAATGCCAATAATGATGAACAACAAGCGTGTTCTGACCCCAAATTTTTTCTATCATCATGGCCTAGCACATGCAAGGTACCCGCCATACGTCACGACGATGAAAGTGGTGACAATATTGATCACGGAAAACAATGGGCTTGTGCAGTGGATAACGCCTCGATATACTCTGCGATGCATTTCGCATGGCTGTATAGGGAACCAACAACCACAAAAGCAACGCGCCCAGACCTCGTCTTCACCAAATTTAGACTAGATCGGATATCACAAAAGAGGAATAATGAACGCAAGGTGAAATTTCCATATGAACACAACATGACAGTTATGACCATGATTTTTTTTTTAAAGTGTGCTCTTCTTGGTACTTATTTGCAGGCGTAAAAGGCCAATGTCACGGGCGCAGTACGGTAACAACGAACGGTCCAACTGTTTCGCCTACTCATCATCAATCACTTCGTAGATATGCCATCTTTTTTATTGCAAAGCATTGTTAAACCGTACATTCCAATTTTTTAGGACTTGTTTTACGAGTTCATTCAAGCCCACAGGCAAAGTTCAAATATGTATGAGCCCAAGGCAATGTTCACTCCTCAATACTGGCTGTTTTGTGCAATGTAGATTTTCTCCACAATATAAATTTGAAGCATTATGGAGACAGAAATATATTGCTGAAAAATAATCGAGCAAGTGCAGCTTTATTGCCAGAAACTAAACACTGCGCTTTAGGTAGTTTTTTTAGAGTGAATTTACGTTTTTAAAAACAAAACTCCATAAGGGTTGGAATCCAGTAGAAAAGTTTGAGCTCTGCGTGCATACTGCTTTTGCCAGATGGTCTATAAGCCCATGAACATCGGCTAGCAAGAAGGTACGTTCACAGGATTTGCACTGGGTTTGGAACAATGATTATTTTGTCATGTAGTTTTTTTGGCGAGCCAGAGAGAGTAGGGAGCCTGCGCGTTCTCGTAGTGCTTACGGAGTGCCTTGCAATTGCTGCTATACTACTGGTGAAGGCCAATGTCACCAGCCAGTTTAATGAGTGTGAAGTTTAAAGTTTATTTGGTCGTTTCTTCACCACATCTATTTACACATTTAAGGACCCAACGAATTTGTTAAAGGGTCTCTAACGGCATCATAACAAAAAAACACTAAAGTAACTTTCATTTTCTAGCTCTAAACTACTCAGTATATTTCAGTGTACTATAACTGAAAAAAGAAGCCAATGCTGTCGTCCATAATGTTCTAATTAGCACCTGATAGGATACCTGTTACATTTGAACAGGTTAACAAGATATTGCAATTTTGTGGCTGTACTTGACGTATTCTGCTTGTACTGAGTGCTACACTCAGAATACACTCTGTCCCTAAGAAAGCTTCTTTGTAGGATGCACTGCTTGTTGGCTTTGTGTTTTCTGTAATAGAGAGCTTTGAGGTGATTTTTTTCATTTTCACTGTCAATGGCGTAGGAAAAGTCGCTGTTTTTCCGCCAGTGCAAAGCCGTGAGTGCGATAGCAACAAATGGGAATGTAACGCTGAGAACTGCAAGCAGATCAAAACGTGCAGCTTGCTGCTCACGCCCAAATGTCACACGAAAACAATACACACAGAAGGAGAGCTAACTAACAACGTTTACAGCTCGACACCTAACAGGCTCTTTAAACAAAAACAACGCATGAAGCGCATTAACATATACATATGTGAGAGCGAACTAACAAATGGCCCAGTTGTTAAACGCTGTGTTTTGAAAGCACGCTCTTTTCGCAAACGGAGGATGCGCAGAAAGCGAAGTGATCGTCGTGCGCCTTGCAACTAAACAGAATTGTTCCTGTAAAAGCTGAAGCCACGCGATTCTCCGCCACCACAGGATAAGTGCGCGTGCGGTTAAGGCCCCTTGCTTCTGTGGAGCAAAGCAGCCGTGGGAGATGAGCGCACATCGGCGCATCGTGACGAGGTGGGCGCGGAGCTTTACGCCGAGCGCGCTCGTGGCATTATCTTGCTGGTAATGCTAAAGACATGTTATTTCCGACGAGATACGTGGTGCCAGCGCTGAGTGGTATATATAAATATTTGGCCGTTTCAGCGTTTATGGAAGCGCTCTTTCGGGGCTCAGTGGCTAAAGCCACGCGGTCACGAACGAAAGGTCAGGAACTCAATTCCGCGCGCTGGAGCCTCTTTCTAGATTAAGCTTCTTTCTTGCGTTTTAGTATATTTAGATACTCACACATATGCGGTGAATGATGGTGGACGCCGGTCTCTACGCTAGCAGGAAAATCTAGCCGAGAGTGTCCAAGTAATTGCTTTCGCAATAAAAGGGTAGCTCCCACCTAGGACAGAAGCTTCTAATAATAAAATGACAGAGATGCCATGCCACCTATTCAGATACTAGTTTGCAGTTGAAGAAGCGCCGTTCATATAACTTTTTGGGCAGAATCAGAGCTACCTTTTTTCAGTTGTGAATATCAACGAAGATGTCACTACTTTTGTATTACCTGAGCCTTTGTTTTCTCTTGGTTGTTTTTGAGAGGTGACCACGTGGGCTATGTTATAATGACAACCGAATATAAATCAGCCTTAAAATGCACATTAAGATTGTCAAAGAAGAAGCATGAATTATTCGTATTTCATCAAAAACTTTGTCTCCTGATGATAACGAAGTGCAATCGCATCGGGACAAATTTTGTGAGCTGCATCAGTGTAAAATACACTCTCAAAATTCTGCCGCACAATGATTGTGAAAAACTAACTTGCAAAAGTATTGCTCCTACGCGATATTCATTGTTTAGGCATTCAGGAGGGAGAATTTTGCTCTCATGTTGGAGTGGCCCCGGTTATATTGGCATAGAAACCTGTCACCAACGAATAGTGCAAAGTGTGCTTTGATATGGTCAAATATACATAGGTGTCAATAAAAAATGCATCAGCGAATCATTGAACAAAACTTTGACGTTGCATATCGCAACAAATGTCACGTAATCGATGTTCATTTAGCACGCCTTCATAGCTTACATGTTTATATAGCTTATATCTAAACAAGCCTCCTCTTCTCTGTGGCTGCATATTGTACCAGTGAATCTGAGCGGCAACACTTATTTCTTTGTCAGAGAACCCAGAAACCCACAGTATGATCCAGTTTCTTGCTTGGGCACTATTATTCATAACTATCGGTAAGTAATACTTGATAAATTTTAAACGTGCTCCCGGGACAGCCTAGTGTTCATCTCTTAACCAGTGCTTGAATACTGCTGGGCTGAGTACCTATTGAGCGACAAGGAAAATGTTATTTAATAATTGTACGATGAGGCGTTATTTCTCTGTTAATTAACGCTTTCTAAATACAAATATTCGAATGAAAAGGTGAAGGGTGACTGCAGAGATCAGAACAGTCACCCGAAAATAAAACTGTGTCTTCAAATAATGACAAAGCATTGCTCATTGCAAAGTAGGCAGGTATAACATCCATGCACCTTGTGAGAATATAAACAATGTGTAGATTAGCGTAATACAGAGAGGGGAGTACCTAAAATATTCAACTACCATGCTGTAAGAATATTCAAATACCTGAATTTGCTTGTATAAAGTGAGCACCGTAATTTATATCCAGCATTGTATCTGTATGCTCTCGTTATATGTATTGCACATTGATACAGATTGCTGAGAAATTAAAATCTAGATTAAGTTGTCAATTACAATAGGAAAATACTTGAAAAAACCCTGTAAAGTTTTTCTTGAATAAAGATCACGCTTGAAGTTTGTGGACTTCACTTCGCAGGTGCATAATAACGCACCATGCGTCCAACCGAAACAAACTAAAGAATAATGGGAGTTTAAAGCATCCTCTGTCATTCAACCTGATACCCTTCGACTCAGCAACATGTGAAATGCCACAATATGCATGTTTTATTATTAACAGGTATTGAGAATCACAATGTCGCATAGTGCAAACTAGGCAAAAGGTGGCAGATTAGACGTGCAGGCCCCACCACATTTAAGGTTAGCGCTTTATTAGTAAATGTGCTCATAACAATGAAACGCTTAGTTTACACAATGAGTAAAATGTGTGTTGTATATTGTGTAGTACCGTAGCAATACATAAATTTAAAAATTACGAATAAAAATTGCGGTTCTATGAGGCCAATCATGTTCTCACGGTTGACATGAATCATTTGTACGTATCTCCATGTGGAGGCTAGGCAGCTCATATCCATCAGGAGAAGTAACATCTACGACGGCTTTCAACCTCGTTATGAGCAGCTTGTATACTCTTTACGAACCAATATTGTGATTGCGTAGCTGTGTTCTTTCTTTCCATTCAATATTGTGCGCCAATATGCGAGAATCTTATATACCTTTGGAAACTAGAGTGAGACCACAAGACTCGGCGTTGGCGCAAGAGATGAATGTTGCCACGTAATAACAAACGATTTGATAACGGTATGGCAAAGTCTCATGTTTTCCTTATGGGTGACTTCTTCGTGAAGTCAATACGACGTCAAACAGCGAGGAGCCTCATCAAGACGCACTTAGGTAACACGACCACTTGCTTATACGTGGCTCGATCGTGGATGTCATGCAGAGTCACTTGATGTACAGAAATATTCAACGGGTGAAAAAAGAATCGTCACAAATGGCACAGAAGAGAAAGCCAAAGAAGATGGCATTCACATTATGCAGTCTCATTCTCTCAGTTTATTGTATATAACAATATTTGAATTTCAGACTGCACTGGCTGAAGTGCACCATGTGGACTTGTTATTCGAAGCTTGAGTATCGTAAGAGCTTGACTTGCCTGATGTGTAAATATAATATTGGAATTTTATCGAAATTTTAAAGATATTTCGTATGTCTTTGTTTGCAGTGGCGTCAATAATAACAATGAAAAAAAGAGAAATACGTCTCGGCAACAGCAAATTTTCTCGAGAAAAAGAATAGTTGTCTGTCAGCGTTCTAAAAGTCGCATGCCTCGAGCTGGCATGACATGATCAATGAAGTCACCTGCTGGAGTTGGAGTGTCGCTAAATGTCTAGGAAAGTTTGATAACTCAAGGCGCCATTAAGTCATTTCTTGACGTACACGTACCTTGAAAAGTTCAGAGAACATGGACTTAAATTCAATTTGAAATTCCTGCTCTAATACTTACAATAACCACTGCAGGTTGACACATGTCATTGGAGGTAATTTTCCTAGACAAAAGAGTATGAAAGGTTTTCATAAAGTCTGGCGCTGTGAAAACGTTTGTGGTTGCGTAGGCACTTTTGTTCCTCGATTTGTCAAAGTTGACACAGTCCCGGAAACGTTTCCGGTCAGGTGCGAAAATTCCGGGGAGATGTCTGTAATACTCTCGAAAAACTCAAGAAAAGAAGATGAGTTTCAGTTCTGTGTCGACTTGGGCAAACTGGTCACGAATCCAGTCACTATCCACTTCACAGGACCAGTACTGTTTCGATGTGATGTAAATAAAACTGTTGATGGCGCTTATGGCGCTTTTCTTCACTGTACATATACGATCACTGATGTGTCGGAGAGTTATTATCACTACATGATTACACGTTCCTCTTGTTCTTCATATCCGTTGTCCTTCTTACAACAACTTGTTTAGAAAAAGTGGTTAACAATTTAGAGTACTTATTACTCTACTATGGCAGAGCTTAAAGTCGTCCCGCTCAATTCGTGATGAAACTTACTTGCTTGCAAAATACAGGGTTTGGTAGTGGTTTCTGTTTTCTTACTTTCAGCCTGTCATGAAGGACACGGGAACCAAGTGGAAGTACCAAGTAAGGAGAGCGCTTTTCTGCTATTTTATTTGTCATGCTAACTGTGCACTCCATTTTTATGGAAACAGAATGGCGGGTATTTTATTGTGGACAAGTACTTCAGTTTTTTTGCTGAAGCATGAAGCGAAGCTTCTGTTTTTTTTTTTGCCTTCATGTTTTTCTCTTGTCGTCTTAGGTTTCATATTGTTTCATGCCAGTCTATATGCTTTGTCTTCTTCATCTTCGGTTCCAACAAGCTAAAAGCTGGCGCATATCCCATCAGTTCCAGTGCCTTCCGACCACCGCTGAGATGTTCTCGTGTATCGACAAATGTCATCCACCAGACAACTGTGACAGCTTGACGCGACTCCTCAGGCGGGGACTTGAAGCGTCTGTTCCAGCTATGATGGGACCAACGTCTCCTGACCCCTCTCCTCCAATTACGTTGCCCCTCATTCAAGCAGTCCTCTATCAAGAAATCGCCAGCTTCAGAATTTATTCTATTTTACCGCCTCCCCGCCCTGACTTGCAGCCCCAATACACGCCTGCACGTCTTTTCTCGACCGACTCGGAGGGGTAGTACAGGTGTATTTACAGCTGGTTAAGCGAGCAGTGCCAGTCACAAAGCTTAGCTCGTGCCAGTCAATATGCTTTGTCTTCTTCATCTACATGCAATGGTACGTAGCAATATAAAGTATATCCAGCTTTTAGGAACACTGAATATTGAGTGCTGACAGCTCTCACGTTTTCGATGAGGCATGGTCATTTCTGGGCGTAAAATTATTGTAGAGACGCAAAGCCCAAATGCTATCTAGTATCATGTTATATGAGCCGTATCGCCCTTCAAGAATGCACAATAATTATCATCAAGGCTTCAGACTCTGCTCACACGATGACTACTGCCTAAAAAATAGGAACCTCTTGGATCCTTTGAAATCACTTCTCGCTTATTGGGGTAAAAATCGGCCTTAAGAAAACTAGACCGAAACCTAGGTGAATAAAGTGTCACAAAGAGGAACTTTTGATATGTCATCATCATCGTCAACCTGACATGGGAGGGCCTTGGCCTCTTCTATGATATGCCAACCCTGTAGGTTCAGTGCTTTCCGTTGCCACGTTAAATCTCATCGGCCCACCTAACTCTCGGTCTACTCTTCGTGGGTTCGCCTTCTCTGAACAATCCAGAGAGAGATTGACTCTGAATGACGAGCGGTCATCCTGCCTACGTGCTACGTGCCCTGCCCATGTCTATTTCTGATTCATGATTCCAACTATGACATTCGTAACCCCTTTTTTTCTCTGAGCCGCTCTGCTCTTTTTTTTGTATCTTAAGATTACACCTATCAATTTCCATTCAATCGCTTGCTGCTTTGTCCTCAATTTAAGTCGAACCTTCTTGGTAAGCATCCCTGGTTCCGGTTTCATAAGTACTGGCAAGATGATTTTGTTATGTATGTTCCTCTTGTGAGTTAGTGGCAGATTGCCATTCATAATTTGAGAACGCTTGATAAATGTGATCCACCACATCCTTATTGTTTAGGTATTTCACTCTCATGGTCCGGCTCTGCGGTTACTACTTGTCCGAAGTAAACATATTGTTTTACAACTTCAAGCGTTTCTCCACCTGTTCCGTAGTGCTATTTTCTGCCAAGACTGTTGCACATTGCTTTAGTTTTGTGCATATTTATTTTCAGACCTAATTTTTGGCTTTCTGTGTCCAATTGTGTAATCATGATCAGTCACTCTCACTTCACGTTGAAAGTGGAGCCGTCCTCGACTTCTGAAACGAACTTGGCCCCCTTGAAGACAGCGCAATCTACGGTTAAGCAGAATAAAAATTAACCAAGCGTTCTCCGATCAGGTGGGTCATCGCAGTGATGCATTTTTGAAGACTGGTTCATTCAATGGTACGATGAGAAGTCGTTGCTCTAAACTAGCACTGTACCAGTCGTGAACTCTCTGTATTTTAGTGCTATTACTGTACTTTTACTTGCTCTCTTCACATGCATATACGCATGCGGAAGGGCTTTCTTATGACTTTGATATCTATGTATACAATCTGCTCAAACTACACCCTGATAGCCCGTCACGGAGGAAAGCTAATGTGTGCTCCCCCCCCCCCCCTGAAAAAAATTTCTGGCGTGTTGGTTCTTTCTTTGGTCTGGCCCTCTGCTGCAGCGGCAGCAGCAGCGCTTAGCTACCTCGTAGTCTCCTCGTAGCACCCTGACATCGTGCCAGTTCCTCGCCGGCTCCCTGGGCAAATCACCCAGCCGGACGGTCAGTACGTCGGTTGGTTTCATTCGTGCACCACAGGGAAGACTCAATCTACCGCGGTGAACAGCGGCGTGAACAGCGGACCTCACCTGCTCCCTAGGCTAGACACCCAGCTGGAGTCTCGGTTGGCTTCGTTCTTCGGTCGTCCAACCCCAGTAACAGCAGCCGGAAGAACCACGCAACGCATGGTTTCTGGGTCAGTCACCCAGCCGAACTCCTGCTCGACCACGAACGCTGGTTCACCTCGAACACGACCCTCGAGTTCCGGCGAGGGCTCCTTTGTTTGTTTGTTCGCATGTAGCCTGCAGTTCGTGGCACATACGCACTTTAGGAAATTGGCAAAGAAAACGATTTTCTGTGTGTTTTCAGCCTGGAATCCTCGGCGCATACTCACTCTGGGAGACTGGCCAAGACAATATAATTTTCTCTTTGTTTTTAGCCTGGAATCCGCAGTGCATACCCACTCATAGGTACCAGCCAAGCAAACATATAGTATCCTACTTGCGGTAACTGCACTATAGGTTACAAAATTGCGGTATAACAAGAAAGACATTATTAAAAAACAAAGACCAAGAGAATATAAAAACAAGAAAATACACTAGTATAACAACTTTAAATTGATTTTGGGAGCTGAACAGACTGCAGAGTTTGCCAAACCAGATTACTTGGAATGTTGATCTCACATCTATTCACAAATAAAAATTACTTGCCGACTTCATTTCCTTTATTGGAGTAATTGTTAAAGTGGGCATTAGGTTGAAAATACGTTTAGTGGCTTGAATGAAATTACACACGACATCAAATACATTTCTGTGGCAATTTCCCAAAACGAAGGCGCTAAAATTGAGAACATTTCTGTGGTTAAACTTAGAACATAGTTTCGAAAAAATCGCCACATTCTACGTACAGTAGAAATCGATTATATGCGAAGCACGAATGAGGAAGGTTGATATGGAACTTTCAAATCACCACAACGTTACTAGCTGGAGGTCAATTATGCCGTACGCAACTTCGTGCCACGATTATCATGTTTGGATGTGTCGTTTACATTTGTCACCTATTCACGTCACGTGATGCCAAATTTAGTATATGTGGAGCTAGCGAAGCGACCGCGAGCACGCTATGAGCGTGGTGTGTTGTCATGTTCTTACATGACACGCGTCTGCTGATTATCATGTTTGCACCAGTCATATACCTTCGTCAATAATTCGCGTAGGTAACACCAAATTTCGTATATAATAAGCTAGCGAAACGGCCTCGAAAGCATCATGAAGGGTTCAATATACTCCAACGTAAAGTTGACAGCGACGCTACGTTAGCAAAACGCGAGCTCTATAGTCTGACGCCAAGCGCGACCGGCGCTACCAGCGTTCGTCGGCACGGCCCGACGGCAGCTGGTGCGAAATGCGACATACTGCCTTTGGCACTAATGCGTTACCATGACAGCACTGCGTCTGCCTATTTTCTAGACGCAGGGACGCCGGACCCTCTCAAACGGGCATGCGTGAGAGCAACGCAGCGCACCTGCGAGTATATGGCAGGACTGGCGCCAGGCGCGGCAACACAGGCGTGACGCGATGAAACGAACGCCGGCGAGAACGTGCACCGCGTCACGGCAAAATGCATTGGCGCCTTGACTGTGGCGTGTAGTAATCTTCTTACATGACACACATCTCATGATTGTCACGTTTGTACCAGTCACGTACATTCGTCATCCATTGACGTCACGTAATTCTAAGTTTGGCATACGTGAAGCTAGTGAAACAGCCGCGAGCGCATCATGACTGTGGCATGTTGTTATGTTGTTTGATAACACGCATATCGTGATTATCATGTTTGGATGTGTCATTTACCTATGTCGTCCATTCCCGTCACGTAATACGGAATTTGTTATGTGTGAAGCTAGCAAAACGGCCGCAAGCGCTTCTTGAGCTTAACATGTAGTCATGCGGTTACATGACACGTATCTCATGTTTATGATAGTTGCACCAGCCGCATACCTTCGTCATCCATTCACGTAGCGTAATACCAAGTTTGGTATGAGTGACGCTTGCAAAACGCCCGTGAGCGCATCATGAGCGTGGCATGTAGTCATGTTGTTACATGACATTCATGTCATGATTTTCATAATAGGGTCCATCGCTTGGGCTCGCCATGAAATCGTGTCATACCATACCAATTTTGCAACATGTCATGTGAACGAAACCACCGCAAGAGCGTCAAGAACACGAAATGTAAATCATAAAATTCATCACATACATGCTAAGATTTTTAAATTATGACTCGTCGAATATACTCGGGATATAATCCTATTAAGCGATACCAAGTTTAGTATTGATACGATTATCTAAACGGCCAGGAGAGCTAAAAGTCGTAGGCGGCTAGATATATATATGTATATATAGAAAAGATCTATCTATCTATCTATCTATCTATCTATCTATCTATCTATCTATCTATCTATCTATCTATTTATCTACCCAGCCGCCTACGACTTTTAGCTCTCCTCTCCGTTTCAATAATAGTACCGAACTCAATAATACCGAACTTGGTATGGCATAACATCCCAGTGAGAAGAACATGTTTGACTAGTCATAACATGAAAATTATCACATAGATGTCATGAATGTCATGATTTACATTTCATGGTTCTGCAGGCCTTGAGGTGGTTTCGTTCACATGGCATGTTGCAAAACTTCTATAGTAATAAATGATTGCATGGCGAACACAAGCGACAGACCCCTAAC